ATCAATAAACTCTTTTGGAAGGTAACGGACAAAGAGACATTGATCAAAATAGGATGTTGATGTTCAATTGACTAATGCTCATTTTCGTAATTAAAATACCTTTGCTTGTTTCTAACTCATTACTTTTTATTACGCAATTTTTAGCAAACCTTGTGAAGACGGAACCAGTCTAGCTAGTTGCACAATATTTTTAATCTTCGCATTTTTATTTTCAACTCTAATTTTAAACACATCATTGATTGTCAAATATATTTTAATGATATATACATTTAAACAATATTATACCAGCTAAATACAAGCATATTTTGATGAAAGAATAACTTTAATACTTTACAACACATCATTTAAGTATTTTAAATAACTGTTCATGACTTGATGTACTTTAATATATTAAGGTAAGAAAAAATTACAAAAATATAACAAATGTATATCTAAACACGGATGACCTCTAGTATTTTCTTTATACTAAAGCGAAAATGTTCGAGATACTTTCACAAGAATGTCTTGGAATTTAGAATTCATTATCGGGGTATGTAAATTTTGCGTGGATGAGCGAGTGGTTGCAAATGCAATTTCATTTTTTTAGACTTGCACTAAAATGTGTACGTGTGATCATTAAATTTGCCAAAGTAGAATGATTCCGAGGCGAATGATCCGAACCAAATCAGCTAAGAATACTGATTCAGAACTACTCCAGTTAGATAATAGTCAGCCGACCTTATGTTATTTATATAAAAATACCGTTATACTTACAACAAATCCCAGTTTCCAGAAATGGACACTTCCTTTACATATGGCGCAATCTTCGCTACACAGAAACACATTCCTCTTAAAGAGGCAGATTCGTAGTGACATAAAGTAAATTGGGAAAGTCAAGTGACCCCTTGGAAAATACTTCGGGGGACGTTCACAATTCGTACTCATAAAGAAAAATAATTATAATAATTGCGCCTCCCGTTAATCAGCTCTGAGTAGCAACGGTGGTTGAAAATTGCGAAAAGGGAAATATTTTTTCACGTAAATGTCAAATTTACAACGGTGATGAAATGTCTAGAACGAAAAATAGTTAGTATTAAAAATATTCATTTTGTATTCTTATCCACTGTTCCACTTCTTAGGGTTTCGCATGCAAAATTTTTTTCGTATTAAGTTTGGATTATTATTGAAATGAATTATTTTTGCGTACAATGATACATTTAAAACTAAATCCAAGTTTACTCAAACAGCCTGCCGGTGTGTGGTAGTGTGGGGTATTTTGAGGAAAATCTACGTACTATCTAATCCCTTCTGTTGCTCACTGAGTCGCATAGACAGATGTTAAAAACAATGTTCGGTATCAGAAAATCCCGAACATATATTTCTGTCACAATGTCGGCATTTTTGTTCAGCGTTTGCTAACTTTCTCTGCCCTTCGCTTATACTAGTGTACGTGAAACTAAATGCCACTTGTTGACAATCATTCCTTCGTGTTATATGTATCACCTCCATATAAAACCTAGTGGCTTCCAACTACAAAATCACTGTTGAATAAACAACGGTTTTTCAAAACCTAGCTGTAGTAAGATATCATTTGTGTCGTAAGCACTAACGGAGTAAATATACAAATTCAGTCGTTACTCGCATTATGAGAATAAACGGAATTCAAATCAAATATTTGCATTTCAATGAAAATAGAAACTGTTTTATTGTTTGCGGATTTGCACCGAGTTCTTGAGCATGTAAGAAAACCATAGATTCACGTACCTCTTTTATAACAGTAGGTCGCGTAATTTTCTATAAATTTTTGCATGCAATGTAAATTAGTAATACGGATCATGACAGTCGTTATTTGTCGATCGGTATTTGTTACTTGTTCGTGATATTCTTATTGTGTGACTATGAAAGTAGAACTTTGAATAAGTTATGCATCATTCTAAAATAGTAAATTTGCAAATTTGCAGTTCATCTCATTATCGACTTTAAACAATGTGTTATCGAATCAAAACTTCGAGAGAAATTTCAATTAATTGGTTATTCGAGAATGTGCGGTAATTTTCAAACTTAATATAGCTGTCATCTTTGCCTATGGCTATTAGTGCCACTTCCTACAATTTAACTAAAATATATAGAAATATTCTCAATATATATATAATATATATATATATATATATTATATATTAATACAGTATTATATATATATATATATATATATATATACTATTTATATATAATATGTAGTGATATATATAATATATATATATATAATATATATATGTTATTATATATATATGTGTATATATATATATGTGTATATATATATATATATATATATATATATATATATATATATATATAAATAGAGATAACAAAATATTATTTGCCGGCTTTTAAAACTACCTTTCCATTTCTGAATCCTTTGAATAATTTTGTTTGAAAATGGAATGATATGAGCTGTCGAATATTGTAAAACATCTTACGAAGTCGTTCTTACTCGCTTCTCACCATCAAAGCTTCCACCGAACGAATATTCCTCGAACGAAAGCGAGGGTTGAAGCAAATTCACGAGGGGATATTTTCGTTGGAGTCACCAGCGATCAGGACCCTGCCCCGTTCCCTGGAGATCATAGAAGCGAGCTCGTGGCTCCATTTGTCTGCCTGGCCCCTGCGTCACGATTTCTCCTCCTGCTCCAGTCGCCCCCCCCCTTCCCGCTCCCCCCTCTTCGGCGTCCCCCGCCTTTCCCCGCCCGTATCTCGCGCCCTCGGGCGGTAAAACCCCTAACGACAAGCCTGCGTCCGCTGGTCGCGCGCCGATCTGGTTCTGGGCCGAGTCCGGTTCAACCTCCCACCCTCGCGTCGGTCCTTCCCGGAATACTCGCGGCCGCTCCGCTGCCACGAAAGGGGAGAAAGGGGAGGAGGGTATATCACTCCCGCTCCCTTACTAAGCATCTTCCCACTATGAAACTGTTGCATCGGAGCTGCTCACTATCAATTGCAGCTTCGCACAGAAAAGTGGTTATGGAGCATTTATTGACAGCATCTCCACATAAATGTAGATTCATTTACGATTCTCAGCTCCACTTTGTTTTGGAAGGATAACGGAGACCTTTGACCCATCACTTCTCGCTCGCAAATTGCTAAATTCTTTTTCTCCATTTCTAGCAGTTTCTCCATTAGGGTCATTCTCCATTAGGCTCCATGGGTCATCTCCAGCCTCATTAAGTCAGATGTCCACTTTGGAGCACTTTCTCCTTCGCCTAAAGCAGATCTCGTATTCCTTAAACTTTGCCGCGAAGACACGTTTATCTTCATCTCCATATTTCAAACGTCTTCGTTTGACACGTCTCTTAAAGAAACTATCAGATTGGTGTCCGCACCGTTCCAATCATTCCCACACTCGTTTTCCATCTCCTTATCCACATTTCGAATTATTGCCCTCGCCGTCGATGGAAGTTGAAGTGATGCTTTTACCATTTTCTCTGATTCTTTTCCAATTTTCCTTCAGCTTTTCCAAAGAACATTCCTATTAGGAAAGATGGAGTACTAAAAGAGGATGTACACGCACATCTTCAAAAACCGTCACAGTCTTCTCCGATTGCTATCCCATATCACAACCAACGCACACAGCAAAAAAGCAGCGACGTCATTTGCATGTCCCTCCATATACCTTTTCCAGATTTCAGAAGACCTGGAGGAAGATCTCCTCGCCCCGCTTCAAACCTGCAAGCTTTCATCCCCACTGGGACCTCACCTCCACAGTCACCACCTCCGCCGCCCCCATCGCCTCCAACGCTGTCCTTGGAGCCAAAGCGGCTCCATCCACAGCGTCACTTTCACAGCTCTCCAACCCCATCGCAATCACCGCTGATGTCAACCCCACCTTCACCTGTTGTTAGTGCTCTCGCTGCTATCGCTTTTCACTCCATTGCCACTGCCGCGTACACTTCCAACACTATCTAAAGCTGTCGTCGCCATCTCGATCATCTTCATTGCCACTGCTGCCCGCTCTGCCTCCGCCGCCTCTTCTAACAGCTGCATCGCCTCCATCATCTCTATCACTTCTACCCCTTATTATCACCACCTCCTCCATCACCACCTCTACAATCTCCAGTATTCACCTCCACCTCTTCAAACTCTGCCTCAACCATATTCATCTCTACGTTTTTTATCCATTTCTACCATCTCCACCTCTACCATTTCCACCAGTATCACCACCACCACAGTTATCGCCGTCACCAAAACCATCTCATAGCTGGATCGAATTCAACCACTAGCAGTAAAAGAATATTTAGCGGCAACGATTGGTAGTCCTGAGTTTTCACATACCAGTACCAGTTGTAGCAATGCCCTAACTAATGGGCCCCGGACCTCGAGCGATCTTTCCTTCTTTTTCCTTGTCCCATCCTCACCCCCTCTCACACACATACACTGAAGTACCACAGTTGTCAGTAGATCAGTCCAGAGCTTGTCCCGGATGGAGCGATGCCTCACTACGGAAGATACCTATGTGGGACACACCTGTAAGTCTACGTCTAGGTCTGCACCAGATATCACGTGTCAGCAGTGAAGAACTCCAGCACTTCCCAGGATATAATATAGACTGCACTCACAGCGCTAATGTCCGAATGAGTGACGCCTCTGGAAACAGTACTCATTCACTCTCATCATGAACTGTCATAGTCAGTTCCATCGCCGTCATGGTTTCATCGCCCCAGCCGTAAGAGCCACGTCGCCAATACTTTTTTCGCCCTCCACTGTCTCTCCCACCCCCTCACCAGTGCAATCCAGCCGCCGCCTACATTACCATCCCCGCCATCACCGTTCCTTCAACCACCTCCACCGCATCGAGTTTTTCTATGCACTTCTCCGCATGAGTCCCTCCGCGCGCCGAGGAATCGGAGCCCCGCCCTCTGGGATTGCGTTGCTCGGACGTGCCGCAAGCGCTCTGCCAGCGCTGCGGTCGCCCGCTGCACGTCAGCGCGGAATGTTAGAAGCACGAGTGCGATAGCGGCGCACGCGACGTGATGGGATGGGGCGCGCGATCTGTTGATGGAAGGGGCGAATTAAAGAGCTTTGTCGTAATTGGCTTTGGGCTGCACGTCGCGTCGCTTGATTACGCTGAGGTTGGTGGTCGACTAGCAGGAGTCAGCTATAGAGATTTTAGAAGGCAGATAATTAATATATATGAAATATTTCTCGTTTATTTGAAGGCTGTAGGAAATGTTATTCAATCTATTAAACTTAAAGTTATTAACTCTAACTATGGAACTATTAATATCTCCTATTTAATGCTTGGATTTTTAATAAACGTCGAATATTCAAACCCTATTTATATTTTCATTTCAATGTAGCATTTTCATCAATATTTTTAAATTATGACACATTAACTTTTTTATGTTTTTTCTGAAAAATCATTTCATATTTTAAAATATTCTTTATATACTGAAATAACATGAGAAACTGTCGCAAATGATAAGCCATTATGTATAGAAGAAATTTAGCAGTATGCAACAAAGCAAAAGAAAACTAGTAATGCGGCAACATGCCATAAACCTCTTATCGTTCAAAACAGATATGTGAAATTAAAATAGTTGCATTTATTGCAAATTATATCAATGTTTCAATTAACAATCGTATTTTTATTGCATTTTTCAAGCACAACTCATACTATCAATTTCCTAAAATTTCCTTTAGACATACAGCTTCAAAACAAAAATTGTAATTTTTACTGCATTAACTGCTAAATCTAAGAGATAGGGGCATCAATGTGTTCATCATTTCTTAATGCCAGAAAATAACCGTACGACAGAAACTTGGAAATCCATACATTTCCAAGTTTGCGTACATGTTGCGATTAGTGTGTGAATCTGACCAACCTCAAAACAAACGGTAAGTATTCACATTATCCAAAATGAATGTATAAAGTCCGAATTAGGAAATGTTTCGAAATAAACTTCGCACTCCCCATCCGTAGTCGGGTGAAGTTATTACGCAATTCGATGTGGCTAAGTTAAGTAGATGAAGTACGTTACGATGACAAAAAATGGCAGAAATGTGAGAAATAGTGATCAGTCTACTGATGGGGAGTTTCTAAGTGTAATGAGAGGCAAGAGTAGTTTAGAGTTCCAATTTGTTAGTCATAAATTTGTATATAAACGATTCCATTTAACCTAATCTATTCACGCTATAGCACTGTTCACGCTGCTTTACACATGTTTGAATTGGTGTCGAGACTTCGATTTTCGACGTTTGCTATTTGTAATAAAGCACTCTTTCAGTCTGCGCAACGCGTAGTTTGCAAAGGACTTTTACACCAAAATATTTCTTCATTGGAATACAAAGTTAACGTGTCCATGTGTGTGGTGTGTGTGTGACAGGTGTCGTGGGTGCGGCACCGCGACATCCACCTGCTGACGGTGGGGCGCTACACGTACACGAGCGACCAGCGCTTCGAGGCCATCCACTCGCCGCACACGGAGGACTGGACGCTGCGCATCCGCTACCCGCAGAAGAAGGACTCGGGCATCTACGAGTGCCAGATCAGCACCACCCCGCCCATCGGACACCCCGTCTTCCTCACCGTCGTCGGTGAGTGCCTTCGCTCTAGGGTTTCCGATAAGCGGACAGCCGAATTGGCTTCCATGAAAAGTGTCACTGTACGCTAACACTATACATCAGTAAGGGAGCGGGGAAATACAAAGTTAAGTTCACACGTTAACTGAGAGGAAAATACTAAACGCTTTCAGTTTGGAAGCAGGGGACATGTTGTTTGTATGATGTGATGGGCTTAGCTGGGAAAGAGGCGAGCAGATTGAAATAGGAGAGTAGTGAAGTAAGTAAATTGGTAACTGATAGAGATATGGATTATCAGGAGCAGGAATAAATGGCTAGAATTTGAAAGGCGAGATATAATGATGTGTATAAAAGTAAACTCGTGGTTCGGATACCGGATTATTTAAGAAAGAAAGGAGGTCACGCGGGTTAGAGGACTATAACTAGGTAAAGACTAGGGAATGAATAAAGAAACTAATAATAAGAAAGAAGAAGGTAGGTTGTTCATACTTTGTGAGGATAATGAAGAATAGTGTGAACATGTGTTGAGAAATGTATGAACAGAGAAGTTACGTAGTGAGTACAAGAGAAAATTATAAGCATTTTGGTAGGATATCGAAGAGATGTTGAGTATTTGGTGATTTTTGGCTGAAGGTTAATGAGGTGATGAATTTTATGTTACCCACTGGACAATACATCTACAATTGGTGCGCAAATTAAAATGAATGTATCAATTGCTTGTATAAATACCTTAATAGCGAATCGTCAGAACACGTCCCAGTGAAGGTAGGTCAATAATTTCTATTCCAAAAGTGTTACACTAGAAGCTAGCATTTTCACACTCCCAAGGGTAACAGACACAGTACTTCACTACGCACTTTGAGACTGATAAGCAGCGCCTGTCTTAGCGCTCTTTCTTCCCTTGTATGAACAATCCGAGGGGTGCGGCAGAAGATGTGCTCTTCACCTTTGAACCTTCATCTGACTGCACTGCACTTCGCCACTGAATAGACGACGCGCTTTCCTTGCACCCGGTGTATTTAAGTTTCCTCACTGTACATAACACTTACTTCCGCCCTTTTGGATTTGAAAATAACAAAAGAATAGTGTATGCTTATCGGGTCAAAATCTGCCATGTCGTGACACAATCAGCCTTATTATATTTAGTGATTATTAAAGTCTCATGTGGCTCATATGAAATGCTTTAATCTTCATAAACGAACTATAAGTTACTAAAAAATAAATGAAATATGCAGTAGACCACGTAGTATCTCCCCAAAAGTCAAGACAGGTTTCAAATTAACACGACAGAGCATACTCATTGCAAACTAATTTTTGTGTCGAAGATTAAGTTTTCTGCTACCAAGATAGTTTCATTTGACTCCCACTTCTGCATATTTAATTAATAATATAAATTTCAATGAGCAATCAACATTCAGTAGTCTTGTCGTACGAATGTGGTTAAAATATTTGAAGCTACTAATAAACTGTATTTTTTTAAGTTATCTCCAGTAGCTCTCCATACAAAATTCGCTGTACTCTCAGCGACGATGTGTACTGTATTTGAAAAGAAAACAACACAGTAATAATGGGATTTTATAAAATATATTTTGCGAAATTCTGTGTGTTTTAATATAATGTTCCTCACTGTATCTCATTGATCTAAAAAAAGATCCGGGCAAAAACACAACCAATTACCAAATACCGAGGAGTTGGTGAGTATTTTTATTCCAAGTGATTCGTCAGTTAATGGTCATTGTGATCCTGTAAGTACAGAGCACGTTTTACTGCTCCGGGAGATGATGGTGTTCCTCTGTACCTGGAACTTGAGATCCGGCGCCGATTTACTTTCAGCTTGCTTGGTTTTCTTCCTCCAGGTATACCCCCAAGCGCGGAATCGCCCCAGCCTGAACAGGCTCTATGTTTTCAGCTGGCTTCCTGAAAGTGTGGTATTTTAGTGCATATACAGTAAGTAAGCAAATGAACGCACTGGATGGGAAAATCTTGAGCGGCTTATGACCCATTTGTTTGAGTAGTGCTCCGGCATTTGTTTCGTGTCGAGCAGAGAAATCACGGCACTAATTCTAGCAGCCAACAGACGCCGGATGAATTCGACCCGTCTATGTAATTAGTGACAAAAATCCACCACCATAGCGACTCCAATGCTAGGACCTGCCGGTCAACTATACTGCTCAGACAACGGTGGTCCTTCTGAGCTATCGCAGTCGATTTGACACCGAAGGCCATTTGTATGTGAATTTTTAAAATCATACACATCTTTCTCAATTTCAGTTATTGATTCATTATCTCGCAAACTGGTTGGTAAAATCGCATAATAATTTATTTCGCCATCTTCGATAACTGGCACCTTCGTGACAAATAGCGAAGAGAAGATAGCTCTACGAAATACAGCCAGAGTTATCTTATAACCTCTTTACGACATCCAAATTTGAAACTCCCCGGATGAAGAAAAAGGGTAATGTAAAGATTAAAGCGCACATGCTTTCGAGAAAGATAACGAAATGTCTGTCCAAGACATGACACGAACTTCGCGTTTCAGCCACAGGCTCACAGAGCGCGCCAGCCCAGTACAGGGCGCACGAACGCGGTTTGCACGAGGCGAACTCACTAGAAGAGCAACGCATGCCAGCTCCATCCGCCCCCCTGGCACGGACCCTCCCGATGGTTTCAAGATCGTTGCATGTTGTGAGGTGCAAATGCCATGCCGTCAGAACACATGACAATCAGGACACCATCACCATTTGTTAATATTTGTGTACGTGAAACACGACTTACTTAAAGACATGTTACTTAAAGACAGTTTAGTATTATCTCTCAAAAATAGCCCGTGCCAACCCATCGACAAACCTTCAAAAGGTTTCTGCAATGTATAAAGCTTTCCCTTCGTTGACCAATGTGGAAAGGAGGATCTGGAAATACGAGGGGAAAACCTAAGAATATTCAGAGTAATGACAAGGGTAGATCTACCGCGGTAGATCATGCACTGGCGCAATTTTTATCATCCAAGAAATCGTGTAAAAACCTCTAGAACTTAACAATCCAGCTTTCCTGTGCTTTGCGGACCTAAGCAAAGCATTTGACAATATAAAACTAATTGGTGTCATAAGAATACTGAAACATGAAAATGTGCCCTCTAACCTTTTAAAACATATATTTATACAGAAAACAAAATAATACCGAAAACAAAATAAAGATTAAAAACCAGGGGAAAATGTTGCCTTCTATACCTGAATCGAAAGGAATAAGAGAAGGGGATACATTGAGCCCATAGTTATTTAATGTAATAATGAATAATATTATAAAACAACTAAAAACAAGAAAAGGATATAGTATGGGAAAATATAATATAAATATTCTATGTTTGCAGACGACACATTGTTAATAGCAGAAAATGAAGATGACTTACAACGATTACTGTACGAGTTTAGTAAACTTTGTAAGAATTTTAATTTACAAATATCCACCCAGAAGACGAAAGCTATGACAATTGTTAAGAATCAAATTAGATGTAAATTGGTAGTGGAAAATCAAAGGATAGAACAAGTTCTAAAAATGAAGTATTTGGGAATAACTTTAACAACCTCAGGACAAACAGAGAAAGAAATAAAAGAACAAATAATAAAGGGTAATAGAATCGGTGGCTGTTTCTACTACTCAATATAGTATGATAAACATCTCAAACAGGACTCGAAGGTTAGAATATATCAATCAATAATTAGACCAGTATTAGCATATGCAGGAGAAACAAGAATCGAAACGAAACGTTCCAAACAACAACTTGAGGTCGCCGAAATGAAAGTTCTGAGAAAAATTACAAATCACACTCTACTGGATAAGGAAAGAAACAGAAACATCAGGGAAGAG